AGCCAGTTTTCACTGAAAAATTTTGGACTGAGTTGATTTGATCTGATTGCACCATGGTGGAAACCAAGTCACTATGATTTCCAAGTTAGCAAGCAGTAAACGCATGCCAGTTTTCATAAAATAATTTACTGGGAAATCTCAGCTGTGTGGCAGGGGCCAGTGATTTTGGTAACCAAGTGTTTTCTTTCAGTGCACATAATGTATACATTTTGTTGAAGGAGGAAAGCTGACAAACACTCTGTAACTGTGACAGGTTCCTCTGCGTACCTCTTTGATTACTAACTTAGGTTTCCACTGGAATTTAGAGCTTCGAACAGCAATGAAGTAAAACACATCTAGCAGCTAACAGAAAAATGAGCTGTGAAATTGAGTAAGAAAAAGGCCTTGAGAATTGTTGATGCTGTCAATGTTTATAAAGGTTTTCTTGTTTTGTTTTTAATTAGCTGGCTCAAATGTATGGTAATTCAACATTGAAACCATGGCCTTCTCCAATTTACCTGCAAGGTTCTTAAGCTGAGACACTGTTTTAACCCAGTCAGTTCATGTTATTTTCAAATTTTATAGATGATTATTGACTACCAGTTTTATTTCACATCCACAATTCTAATTCAAACCTTGGTATTACACTTTTTTGAGCTAGTGTGTCTGGTTTTTCCCCTTTTGTTAACTAATCGAAGAACGTGAAATCTTTCCCTTGCATTTAATCATCATGAAATATTAACACCTTGACCTACATTAGATTTACAGTGTCAGAATGGCAGTTGTGTCTATAAGAGAATCCTGTTGGATGCTGAACACGTCCACACATAATATAAAAATTTCTAACCCTTACATAGAGTTTTTTAGAGCTGTGGTAAAATGCACATAACATTTACATCTTAACTCGCATGCAGATTTTTAATTCATGATTCTTTGGAGAAAAGAACCAGTAGAGGCATGAGACAGCCATTCTTCCTGGTATTGGAGTTCTCGGGGGGTTCCTGACACCTATGCTGTCTTGCTAAAGTTCTCATGTTTTGGGTTTTTAGTGCCATTTTCCGTCTGCATCAACATGAGAAATAGTGGGCTATAATTAACCCTCTTCTTGGAATGGAGATAGACATATTCCTTATTTTCTTCTCCTCCCCACCTCCCAAACCTGGGACTTTGATAATGGTGAGGTTTTTATTTTCCTTTATTATTTTTTTAAATTAACATATCTCTACCACTGTATGAAATACCCTCTGCTTAATGGCCCTAACCTTAATTCACGGATCCCGTGTCCTGCCAGTTTACCTGGGCATTACCTACCTGCGGAGAGGGTCCTATACTACATTGGTGAGGAATAGTGAGCAGTATGCTGGCAGGTGTTACCAGGTGTCACCAGATGGTAGAGAGACTTACTCAGTCATGACTGCGAAGCAGTAAGCAGCATATGGGTGGTTTTTTCCAGGTGTTGCCCAGGTATAACCAGGTGCTACCCAGGTGTTCCCCAGGTGTTCACAGCTGTTACCAGTGACGAATCCTGGTAAGCCACCAGTGTGGAGCAGCAGGCAGTCGGCTGGCGTTTGGCCACATTTGCCTCAGATTCTCTCCCTGGGTTTGTGTTCACCAGTGGTACCATATTTATTTCTGGTCTCACTGGCACGATTTGACATCAAGTAATAAAGAGAAAGTGACTTCCTTGTCTATTTCCTACTTCCAACAATCTAGAAATGACGACAGGTGTTCACAGGGCCCGCTCTCAGACAGACACCGGTCTCGGGCAGGCTGAACTGTCGTAGCCAGCAGTTCAACCTGCCCAGGTGAGCAAACCACGCAGGGTTCCTTTGTGCACCTGGAGCGGTTCGGGCATGTTTCCTGGCAGGGGTCTGTTCTCCGTGTGTCCTGTGGCATCCTAGCTTCTTTCGTTCCTGTGGCCCTGCCATCGGCTGGGGAGGAGGCAACCCCCACAGTCAGCTAGCGAGGGAGGACGTGCATGTGGGAGCCGCCTTTGCCACTGCCTAAAAGCCTAGGTTCACGGTGGCACCGAGCCTTCCACTGGTGACAACATGCCCCCCCCTACAGAGGGGGTAACCTGGAAGCTGGGGTTTTACCTGGCTGGACAGGTGTGTTGCAGGTATAAGGGGTGGAGAGGGATAGGGTTAGGATTAGGGTGGCTATCTTGGCAGCCACCTTCAAAGAGGCAAAGGAGGTTTAGGGTGCAAGTTGGGATGACGGTAGTTGTCTTGTAGATGCCTTCCTGAGGCAAAAGGATGACCGAAGCATGGAGGTCATGCGTCCCATTCTTTCCCTGGGTGGGGCTGCTGCCAGGAGCCTCAGCAGCTCCCCGCTTCAGTGGCAGCAAGAAACACCCTGATCTACCCTCCAATGGCAGCTCACGTCCTCGCGATGACCAAATGCTGTCCTGAACCATTTGTCCTAAGGGAGAAGGTGCATTTGAAAAATCATGCTTTCCATTACACACGCTATTTCGATAACGCGCCCCTCTAACAAACCGAGGAGTACCTATTCTCACGAATGTGTGATGGATTCGGGGTTCAACCAAAATGTCAGCAGCTAGCGGCTATGCAGAACGTATGTCACAGATAGCATATGTGTGCTTCGAGTTTCAAAGACGATTCACGTGCTTTTGCTGCACAACTCACTGGCAATTCCATACTGAGAGGAGATCGCATGGGCAGAGGAACTCTGAAAGCTGGATGTGATGAAAATATGTTTCAATTAACGGTGGCGTAAAGCACTTTGTGATAAAAGATCAGTAAACGTGTGCTGCTGTGAGAGCCGTAAAGCTTCCGTAGGGGGACTGCTAACCTATTTTGATTAATGTTTACGGTATAGAGGGGGAAAAAATGATGCATTAAAGAACAAAATTATATGTATGTGTACCATAGCCCGAAAGGGCTCCTCCAATTGTAACACGTTTTATGAATATTAATAATCTGTTCCTTAAAGGCCACTTTGAGCTCCGAATGTGATCTGTGAACGTGTGTGACTGACATGTGTTGCGTGCAACATAAAGTGAGAACCGTTCGGTCGTAATCCCTTAGGAAATGAGCATGAGACGTTGTTTCCTTAGGGGGAAAGCGAGCACGTACGTTTATTTTGCACACCATCCCGGGGACATTTGGACCTCCCTTTCCAATGCCTGTCACGGAAGCACGTCTGCCCTTATCTCCCTTTCGTAGCCTCTCTTCCCCAAGAAGAACTACGAATGCCTGACGAGCTGTCAGTTCCTCAAGTACGTGCTGTCCGTGAAGCAGGGGGACTGTCCGGCCCCCGAGAAAGCCAGCGGGTTTGCCGCCGCCTGCGTGGAAAGCTGCGAAGTGGACAGCGAGTGCTCCGGGGTGAAAAAGTGCTGTTCGAATGGATGCGGACACACCTGCCAGGTGCCCAAGACGCTGTACAAAGGTAAGAGCCAGCCGCGCCTGTGCTCACAGCTTCAGCCTCTGGGGGTGCGTGTGTGCTGGGAAAGGGCGCCCCTCAAAGATGTCACCATTGCAAGGACAGGGAAAGCAGTGACAAAACTCACCCGGTGCCCCAGGCGAACATCTTAAAATATTAACAGACCGTGCAAATCAGCCACAGTGAGTCATGGTGCAGCCGAGCAAATCCTTCCTAGTAATTCTTGTAAACTTTAACAGGGAATCCAATCAAATCAGGAAACTTTGTGTGTGTGTGTGTGTGTGTGTGTGTGTGTGTATTTTCCTCTGGTAAGAATAAATCCATGAAACTCCTCTGGGTACACTGGAATAAACAGATTTAATTCCTTGGGAAACGGGCTGAGCTGTGGGGTGGGGCACACTTGAAAAACCGCATACTAAATGTGCCAGGATTGTGGGTTTTGGTTTTTTTCCCCCCCTGTTGGCAGAATTCCAGAACACAAGTGTCGCTGTGTGGACTTTAAATATTTTGATTAGGATCTTGAGATCCTAGATGCCGAATAGCCCTCTTTCAGAAGATAAGGGTTCAATCTAGCAAAGCGTTGAGCAAATGGCATACTTTACATTCAGAGGCGGTTTCTAGAGCACTTCACGCCTCTGTGCTAAGTGTCACTTGCTTCTTTTTCTCTAAAGTGGCAAAGTCCTCTCATTCCAAACTGCTGCTGTTGTGTCATGTTCGTTTGCAGGCCATCAAAGCGTGCCCTGAGACCTCCCCTTTTCCTACTTTTTAGGGTTGAGTTGCAGACTAAAACAGACTCCATCCCTAGCCATTGTTCATTACAAGTAAAAAGAATAATCTGCCTCTCTGTATCCTGTTTTTCTCACTTCCATTCACACACAGCAAATAAATATTATTTCTAAATATAGGTAAGCTTTAAAAAAACAACAACAGTAAAACAGTATTGGTCAGGGATGCCGGTTTTGAATTCCGTGCTGGCGAACGATTTTCAGAAGTCCGTTTTTAACCCTGATGACAGTCACGTCCCCCCCACCCCCTCCCAAGTCACAGACTGCCCCACCTTCCTCTAGCTCTCAGCTGGAAACGCTCTCATCCAAAATCTGTGTAATCCATCCAGTTTTCCTTGGAAACCTGGCATAAATACTGTGTCTCAAATGCAAAATAATTGCTGCTTTCCCCCTTCTTACCGAGTGACATATCTTTAATGGATTTAAAGTTGTATTGTTTCCCTGCCTCTTATTATAAACGACATAAAGTCACTTTTGCACAATGTAACACCATTTCTTTGTTTTTTTTTTAAAAGTGTATCATTAGGAAACCTTGTTCTGTTATTACAGCTCATTTGCTATTTAAGTATTAGCATTTAGCATAAAAATGGGATGCTTCTCGAAGGATTGCTGAAGCCCCATTTGTAAAACCTTTCGTGTTTTCACAGCAGGGCATTTAAAAGAGGGAATATAAATTAAAATATGCTTTTTATATAAAAGCACTGAGGAGCCAGTATGAATTTCAGATATGCCAGGTTTGCTGAGACTAAGGGAGCGCGTTCATGAAAATTATTAACTATGAAGAGATGGTTGCAGTTTTAACCTGTGCGACACTAAATACGGTAGAATTTTTCTTTTTCTTTTTTTGAAATGCTGAAGTTTTCTAACAAAGTAGCTCTACACAGGAATTTTTACGGAAAGAGGCAATTCGCGGAGAACTACCCACACACAGAATAAACAGACTCGTTTGACCTGACGATGACTTTTGCAATCATGAGCATAAGGAAAATATTTTTCATTTTGAAAAATATACAGATGGTGCCCAAAAAATGTATACTCATTTTAAGAAAGGAAAGAAGTCTGTATTAAAATTATGCTGATGGTAACCACTTTGAGCACCCCTTGTCATTGCAGAAGTCAAACGTGACTTGTATTCATATTTTGTTATTTGTATATACTGAGTATTACACTTTTTTATTTTTAAAGATTTTATTGGGGAATTGGGGGAGGGGAACAGCATTGGGGGATTGGGGAAGGGGAACAGACAAGCTGCTGTCCTTTTGTTCTTCTGTCTAGTTGTGGAGGACGTTGCTTCACTGGCCCGTGTTGGTATTATCATTGCGCTCTTCCTGGGTGAGGCAGTTGCTCACCGGCCATTGGACGGCTGCTCATGGCAGCTCAGAAAGCTCACGGCAGCTCACGAAAGTGCACGCCCGCTGCTGGCCAGCCCCACTGCAGCCTACGCCATCGCCGGCCACTCACGGCAGCCCAGCTCCAGGTCGAGCTGTTGTTCACCATCTTAGCTGTAGAGGGCGCAGCGTCACTGGCCCNGTGTACGCTAAGGGCAGAAAAAAACAAACAATGAACAAAAATTAATGAGTCTAGTAACCAAGAGTTTTCCAAATTTTAAATCCGAGCCAATTTAAAATTTAACCTGGCAAAATCATGAACTGGGGCCATTGTCATTTGTGGAATTATTCATATGAATAGTTTCATAAAGGAATTGTCATTACATTCACTTTACAAAAAACAGTTTGCTTTACTAGACTGGATATAATTGCATAAACAAGAAATTTAACATTTTGTACATGTACCTGTGTTTTTATTTACTGTGAAGTTTGATGGGCGTTATGCTCATTATGATCTGGATACCGCGCACACCTTTCCTAAAACGTTCCCATCCCTCGTAACAAGTCCACGCATGATTAACTTGTAATGTCGCAAGAAGTAGTACATGCTTAATGGTCAGAGTTTCTTTTCTGACACCCAAACGACGTTTTGTTCACAGAATTTCCAAGTGGCTAATCACGGACCAATGTCTACATTTTCTTTATGTCTAGAGCATGAATATTCACTCCTCATTTCCTCTGACCTGTATGCATTTTTGTCCTTCTTCCATTCAACTGCTAAATTCTCATTAAGCCGTGATTAAAGCCACAGGGGGAGGCCTTGTGTCCAGGTACCATATGTTCTCCAATTATATGGAGACTATTCATATTTCTTCAACCGAACCCAAGGTAATTATCCAAAATAATTGATAGAGAGCGTCTAAATTTGCCTCTGGTAGATATAAATAATAGAACAGTTAACTACAACTTGCTGTAAGATTCTTGTACCACATCGACGTATTTGTAAGATGATTTTTATTTAAGTGAAAAAACGTAGACTCCCTTTTTCTTTTAAATCCCAACAGGGCACACAGTTCTCTGTGTGCAGATTTCAGTGCCTATCGTGGCAGTAGCATGCTGGGAACTTTTGGGTGATCACACTGCAGAAGAAGCAGTGCCCACTCTCTGTCTTTGGATCTTACAACATTTTTGTCAGAACCACAGAAGCGTTTGGAAATGTTAAACAGTAAACTTGTAGCAGTGGGAAAGGAAAAAAGATAGCAGTTATTTTACTGAGGACCTACGGTGGGCCGACTCTACCCAAAGCACGCAGTTCTTTGTGTGCACTATCTCATGTCATCTTCACAATATATTTTTTTTGCTTTATCTCAAGCACATGTACCAATCTAGAAAGCTCCGGTGCAAAGATGACCTTTTCTGGTTTCCATCTTTGTCTCCATGGTCCTCAAAATAATGACCCCGCCCCCCCAAAGAAAAAAAAATCACCTCTTTGAATCTATGCCAAAAAGAAAAAATATTGAATAAACATAAAAACAATCCTCACATCAACTGGAAGACCTAAATTATTGTGCTAATTATCATCATTCTTCTATGCTCACTGGGGATAATTGCTTTGGGTTGGGTTGGTCCACTGTTTTTGTTTGTTTGTTTTCCATGCTGCCCCATTAGCTCAGTACGTAAGTGACTAAGATGAGGACTTATCTCCTCTTTCCTGCGTCCCTCAGTTCAAGCGGGTGGTGTTTGGTGTGTAGGTAAATAATTAGAATATCGTGAACAGAGCACCCATACTTGGTTATCTGATTTTTGAGTCATAGCCAGTTTTCACTGAAAAATTTTGGACTGAGTTGATTTGATCTGATTGCACCATGGTGGAAACCAAGTCACTATGATTTCCAAGTTAGCAAGCAGTAAACGCATGCCAGTTTTCATAAAATAATTTACTGGGAAATCTCAGCTGTGTGGCAGGGGCCAGTGATTTTGGTAACCAAGTGTTTTCTTTCAGTGCACATAATGTATACATTTTGTTGAAGGAGGAAAGCTGACAAACACTCTGTAACTGTGACAGGTTCCTCTGCGTACCTCTTTGATTACTAACTTAGGTTTCCACTGGAATTTAGAGCTTCGAACAGCAATGAAGTAAAACACATCTAGCAGCTAACAGAAAACTGAGCTGTGAAATTGAGTAAGAAAAAGGCCTTGAGAATTGTTGATGCTGTCAATGTTTATAAAGGTTTTCTTGTTTTGTTTTTAATTAGCTGGCTCAAATGTATGGTAATTCAACATTGAAACCATGGCCTTCTCCAATTTACCTGCAAGGTTCTTAAGCTGAGACACTGTTTTAACCCAGTCAGTTCATGTTATTTTCAAATTTTATAGATGATTATTGACTACCAGTTTTATTTCACATCCACAATTCTAATTCAAACCTTGGTATTACACTTTTTTGAGCTAGTGTGTCTGGTTTTTCCCCTTTTGTTAACTAATCGAAGAACGTGAAATCTTTCCCTTGCATTTAATCATCATGAAATATTAACACCTTGACCTACATTAGATTTACAGTGTCAGAATGGCAGTTGTGTCTATAAGAGAATCCTGTTGGATGCTGAACACGTCCACACATAATATAAAAATTTCTAACCCTTACATAGAGTTTTTTAGAGCTGTGGTAAAATGCACATAACATTTACATCTTAACTCGCATGCAGATTTTTAATTCATGATTCTTTGGAGAAAAGAACCAGTAGAGGCATGAGACAGCCATTCTTCCTGGTATTGGAGTTCTCGGGGGGTTCCTGACACCTATGCTGTCTTGCTAAAGTTCTCATGTTTTGGGTTTTTAGTGCCATTTTCCGTCTGCATCAACATGAGAAATAGTGGGCTATAATTAACCCTC